AAACGGAGAACATGTCAAAAAGCTGAGTAAAATATCGAAGCAACAAAGATACTATTTTTTTTCATCAAGTATATTCAACCCGACGATGTATCTTATGTACTTTAAGAGAATAAAGAGGGAGGCGTGAAAATGAATGTAATGAAAAACTGGGGCTGCTTAAATAAAATAAAGCTTGTCGGCATATTATTGGCGGGAGGGTTGCACTTTATCTTCTTTCCTCTCTCTGTTCCGCTGCTCCCTAACCCGTACTTCACTTTTTCCGTTTATTCTTCGTCGAAGAAGTCTTTCATTTGCTCGATAAAGTTGTATGTATATATACCGTGGCGGATTTTTAACGATGCAAATACTACGATGGTGTTTTATAAACGTCACATTTTTATTCTAACCACTCAATTATGTAACAAGAAGAAATGTACACTGGAGGACTGCCAACTAAGCGTTCACGATTCACTCCGTTGCTACTGCGTTAAACGGTAACTATAACGAAGATAGACGTTTCAGACTGATGCTCGAAAACGTAAATATTACAAAAGTTTAATTTTCTATAAAATTTGCGACAAAAGTTGGAAGCACTGAGTGCGAGACATTAACGCTTTGTCGGAGTGACTGGTTTGTTGGCAAAAATGATAAACTGCATGGGAAAGTGGACACTTAATCTACGTATCCACTAATCTCCTCGTCTCTTCGTGTCTCCGACTCTAATTCCATTCTAATTCGTCGCCCTTGCAATGAAATTGTTCGAATGCCCCAACGCCTTGTTCATCGTTCGACTAACATTACGACACAACATTTACCCTCTTAACCCTTTCGCTTCTCGAAAACAGATAAGAGAGAAATTCAATCCCATTAATGTTACCCTTTCAATTAAATCTTAGAGTCACGGTGTAATTACGATCTTGAGGTTCGTACGTGTGAACGGGAATCGTAACTTTATGATATATGCATGCATCGTGTAACGTCGTTGGATTGTTTCTTTCGACTGTAATTAACGATATTAATCTAAATCGGGCATCAATTAAACTTGAATCTGTGTGTCGTTTCATCTGTACTTTATCCTAATGAAGGACGTAACAGCACCGCCCCATAAACATCTCGAAATTGTGCAGGTGCTGTTCTTGATTTATGACAGGCAATTAGAATCCGACTACCTTATTTGCCGTTGCCACTAAGAAATGCCGCCAGCATGTGAACACGACGCATCCTAATCTATGCTCGAAACCCTAATTTCGAACGCACGCCAGATGTTGTGCGAACAATCAAAGTAAAACACAAATATGCAATTAAACATCGAGGTTTTAATTCGTTCCCTGCTATGGGAATCACCGGAAGATGCTTTACATTTCAAATTACACAACGCAAGATTCAAAGTTTAATTCTGAAAAATGATATGATTATACCTTTGATAATTGTTGTTATTAATGAAGATTCAAGCAGGCACCTCGTTAGCGGAAACGTAAGGTGAACAATTAATGAGATTTTTACATGGTCGTGGTAAGCATAAACAGTAGCGTAGTTACAAACTAGGTCCCTCCCTCAAAATAACAGCTCTCAAATAATAGTTACATCGATACTTATAAATAAATTTTAGCTTTCGACTGTAAGTAACGAAAATACGTTAGCCGTGAAATTAATGACTTAAATTGCGTAATGAAACTATGCCGTAAGCGGATTATAGAATCCGAGAATGAAGTCTACGTCGGAAGGAGACAAATGAAGAGAGATGGTTTGTGGAAACTGGAAATGCAATTTTCCCCGGGACCCGTCACCAAAGGGATCACAAAATAAATAGATATAGCTGATTAGAGTTAATCAACCAATTCGAGAACTCCATCGTCGTTAATTTCCCGCTTAAACAAATGACGAATAAAAATATTCGAAGAAATGTATTCGAGAAAATGAAAGGCAGTCTGCTTCGATAAGTTAATATCTACGGAACAAGTGATTGTTTTCCCAATGAGGCTGATAAGACCAGAGGCGGAAATGAATAAAAGGGGGAATAACCCAACGGAAAGCATCGAGAACGGTGGAAGAAGCAAGAGAAGGAGGCGAATACGACGACGTACAGGACCTGGGGTAGAGATGGTCCGGCGTTCATCGGACATTTATCCAATTAACCGATTCGAGTTGACTAACCGGGGGTCAGAAGATCGTTCGAATACCTATATAGAAGACTAACACGGTTCGTTGCACGAGTATACCGGTTTACGGGTACCCGTTTCTACGCAAGACGAGGAAACTCGGTTACGTAATGTCAACTGTTGATCTGTTGTGTTTAATTACGGGAGGCGATATTGACGGGTCGGTATGCGCACGACAGAAGAGGAAAAATCGTTGAATCGATAAGGACAGAGAACGAGATCGTTGCTTGTTCGTGAAGTCACCCCTTTGGTTGCGTGGGGTTAGCTTCGGAAAGGGGTTTGGAAACGGAGGAGAGCTACTGAGGCGTTTGGGCACTGTCGAAACGAAATGGCCAGCAATATTGTCGTCGTGGTTCGGGGATTTGCGTGGGGCAGATCGACGAGTAGGAACCGGAGGATGGGTGACATGGGAAATTAATTATACGCTCCTGAAAGTCCTGACCTCCGGCTCGGATACCCCAAAACAGATCATTGTCTGTCTCTTTGCATTTTTTCGCTCGCTTTTTCTACAATAGCGAAGGCTATTCGATGTCGTCTTCTTCGATTACAGCAATTTTGATAACGCGACATAAATGTAATTAAAAGGGTATTTCGAACTTCGTCCATTGGGAGGGACGATGAAAACGAACAAATGTACGGGTATCGTGAGAGATAGAAATAAAGACTGATTCAAACTCACGGAACAGTCGCTTCGAGAGTACATCCGGGGATCCATTATCCAGATCTTGGAATTCAACTGTCCGAAACGACCGCAAGATTTGTGTTTTCAGTTTCACGTAGAAGTGCTCAACCTCCTGCTTTTCGTTTTTAGAATAAAAAAAGAAAACGTCAATAAAAAAATAAAAGAATGTTTATATATTTTACAGCTAAAATCCATGATAGAACAAGCGTGATACAATTCGACGTACCTTGCTGCGTTCTCACCCATGACCCGTCGACTTCGAGTTTATCGCTCGTTCCACGTACAAAATCTACAGAAAGAAAAAACGATTTATTCAGAAATATGTCCTCTTTTATATATCGTTATGGAACATACACGTGGGGAACGACGTCGTAGCCTCCAACTTCCACCCAGTTTCTATCTCCCTTCTCATACTTTACCGCCCTACCTAGCACACATACGCTCAGAATATTTATTTTTATTACAATCCGTATACTCCTGAGTCAACAGTTCTTCTCAAAAGCACATAAATTTAAGCACGACTATAAGTGTAACTGGCGTACGTTAACAGGATTTTTACGTACAAATGTTACTAATTTTACAAACGCTCTTTCTCAACATTGAAAAGAACTTTTGTCCGTGCTTTGAACTCGAAGAATTTTTCGCTTTCATATTATATCACCTTAATGTTTTTTGAGAAGACACCCCTGCAAAGTTAGCGGCTACTAGCGGGTCCAGTAAATCTTGTACCCTGTACCACCCCCGTCCCGAACCATCTCTAGAACCACCCTCGACTGCCTAGCCATTCTTATTCCCTCGTTACTCGCAGCTTCGCTCGAGGCAGCTCTCTCCTTATTATATCGTCTTTCCACGCCATAAAATCGGAAAAGAATTTTGCTCCCCAAGACAATAGAAACTAATAAATTTGATTACTGATTGCACTTGCGAGTTTTTCAGACTATAAAGTCGTCGCGTTTCCGTGCGATGAAAGTTTTGTATTTGACAAACGAAAATTAAGAAATCATTGATTATTCGCGTAAGAATTGTTGCTGGAAAATATACATTTTTATGATTGGACTGTTTCTTTCGTAACATCACTACTCTTAACGTTTATACTCTCAATTGAATTATTAAAATTAATTCATTTACCCAGTATTATTATGGAATAATTCAATATGTTGAGACCGGTAAAATCCTTAGTTTCATAGTTTTGACAGCAGTACCGCCAGCACCATCTTCCAGTCAACGAAGAAACAAAATGGAGAAATGCTTCTTCTTTCGTGAAATAAACGATTCCGTGTGTTACAGGCGTTGATAAAATATTTCGCTGCTATAATATAACACAGATAATATCATAACTTGTTCAAAAAGTTAAAAACAAAAATTACTAATTACTTACTAATATACTATATTTTGTACTTTGCAAGAGACTGTGTCGAATATACGCAATGACACTAAATGCGTCGCAAATAATAAAATGCATAGAATTAGACGTTACTCATTTCAGAAATTATTTCAACACATTTTGAAAACGATACTACTAGCGCCAATAGACGGCAGAAAACAGAACTTCAATTATGATCGTTTCAACAAAGAGGGTAGCACTGTTCCTCATCGCTAGATGGAGGCAGAAGGATTGTTTTCTTAGCGCGCGTTGATATAAAATTAAAAAATAAACCTTCCACAATGTTCTCATTATCAAAGCATAAAATTACTTTACAATAATGTTCAGACATACCATATGAAGTGTAATACTTTTACGGATTGTTTGTCAATAATTAACTTTGATTTTGTTTACCAACACGTATTAAGATTTCATTATCAAACGAATGATATTTGTTCGAATTCATGGTCAGTTATTCGTTAATTATATGCATGTTGAAGTATTGTCTATGATCTCATTTAGGGATGTAGATAAGAAGAATCGCTGTCATATAACTATTATTTGTTATAATTTCATTATGAGGCATCCAACGGAATCGTAGGCAGTGATGAATGCATGTGTACATAAAGTTCAAGAATATTAAGGCTGTTTTCATGACACATTTTAGATAATAATGTAACACCGATAATTCAATTATCATCACAAAGTTATTGAATGCTTTGTAGTTTACTTTTATTTTTTCCTTCGTTTCGTATCTGTTTTTTGTGCATAAATTTTATATCAATATATTGAATACATTTGTAATCAATATGACTGGCATTATAATATTTATTACATCATTTTTAAGAATAAATTCGTTATTCTTGTCGCTTAACACTACTATATTGCTATTCGCAAAGCACAACATTTTGCGATAGCAGTTTTACGTTTTGGAATAATGTCCTTTTTTGTGGGAAACATCTGCTTTTCATAAATTGTTTTTCAGTATTTATTTTCCACGCCAAATATTCATACATATGTGTTTTGTTATATCCACAAATGCCTCGCAAATGTTCATATATTTCAGAGAATTTTATCTTCTTAAGCAGGGGGAATCTTGTTTATCCTACATTCTTCGCCTGCGCTTCTTTAATCGCATAGAGTAAAGATACATAAGCTTGTGTTAAAGTAGCGTATCATCTCAACTAAATGGTGCGTACGACTTATCTTGCAATTTACTGTTTTGTTTTTAGATATAGTCAATAGCCGTATGTAGATACTGCCAATTACAATGAACATTCTATATTTGAGTCAAACCAGCCGCGCTTAACTTTCGTGTATCGAGTGTTTATGGTGTATGTAGGGTTCCTTATTTTTAAGTAAACAATTTTTTGAAATTGAGATATGTACTGTTAAGCTAACTGTCAAAAGTTTTAATCAACATTTATTATATCATGAAAACCTCATAGTGAACAGTTGATGTACAATTTGCGGTTGTTCGGTATTCGTAATACATTTTCGCTACTGGGAAATTAAAAACTAATTAGTTAGATGGAGAAACAGCTCATTAGTGATATTATTATGTTTGAAAGGAAATTGATACTTGAAAAGCATTACAATTAACATTAAATATACTCGACTGATTAAATGGTTAGTGACATAGTTGCTACGCTGTATGTTAAAAGAACATTTTTATAAACACCAAAATATTATCAGGGTATGAAGTAGCCCACATAAAATTTGAAGTAGTGTGGATATTATAGTAAAGGAGGAAACATGTTAAACAAATTACCACAAGAATTCAGGAGATATCAGCGCAATAGAAACCAACTGCAGCATATTCTTCAAGAAACCCAACGAGCATTAGAAGTTATTAACCTTGAAAATTTCTTTCCCGGAGGTAAGAATTCAAAGGTTTTAATTCTTATATCTCTCTAAATAATGATTATATTCAAACATCTTCTTTTTCTTGCAGAAAATATTGTAGAAGAATTATTACCTCCATTAACATTAGACAGAATTACACATATTTTAAGAAATTCTCCAGCTGTTGTAATTCTAGGACAAGATAGTAAGGCAAAAGCAGCGTTAGTTAATAGTTTAACCTCCAGTGACATTTTACCGTTATGTAGTGGTTTATGGCGATGGATCAGACTTAGTTACGGTACAACAAATTACTTCAGTGTTACATTAGGCCTGGAATATGAAGTAGTCGATAGTTTCCAAACAAATGAAAAACAATGGAGCACCCTTCCAATTGAGGACTTAACAAAATCTGGTAATGAAGACACAACTTATCCGACAGTTCTTGAAGTTAAACTCGATCAACCCATATTCAAAGATGGTGTCCAAATATTTGTTGCTCCAAATAATGGGGCAATAAAAATTCTTGCCAAAGGACTATTACCTGTTTTGCCAATTTTTGTATATGCTCTTGGTGAACAACCATTAACTGAACAAAATTTGGAGGAATTAAGGGATTTAAAAGAAACATATCCATTCAATCCTGTACTTTTTATACCGTCATTAGGAAACATATCATTGAGTAGCATTGATGCTGAATTGACTGAATCTGAACAACATAGACTACAAAATCGATTAAATTCCAATGATTCTGCATTAAATAAAAATGATGATAATGATGATAGCATTGATTTTGACAGAATGAATTCACTTGGTTTAACATGGCTAGATCAACTGACAAATTTAAGTTTCTTAGGTATGGAAGAATCTGTTGAAGTTGATCAACTATCTTGGTTGAGTGGTGGACAATACATTACCTCCAGTGAACTATTAGATTCCTGTAAAAAAACAGATCGAATTTTATACTTTATTCGCGGATGTTTACAATCTTACCTAATTAATGCTAGCACTTATTTAAATGAAGTACATACAACTAGTTTACGAAAATTTATATTAAGTGCATTTGATATGGCACGTAAAATTCAAATAACTCCAAAAAGAATACAATATGCTCAACAGAAAGAAAATGAGTTATATGCAAGTTTGATGAAAGTAGTTAATGAAAAGCAGGAGGAATTAACAGAAATAATACAAAATATCATCCAAGAGATGAAAAACGATGTATTGCAATCTAACAACGATGTATATTCGTATCATAGTATTACTTTTGATAACACCGAAAGAACAGAATGGTCTGCAACTGTTAGAGCTGCAACTTGTGAAGTTCAAAGAATGGTACTCGGTCGTTTGGGAGAGAAAGTGGCGAAACAACTTGTAAATTCTGTAAATTGTTTGCGAGATACGTTCGTCGGTACATTGCAGCGTTGTCTAATAAGTCTGGAGAAATCGTACGAACGCGATACTTGTCTATTAGCAAGTGATGCTCTAAAACAAATACTTTCAGCCGCATATAACGTTGAGTTACATAATTCTTCTCCATCTTTAATGCATTCCTTTTTAGAAAGAATGAGGCAACTTTTTAAATCACTGCCTTTGCCATGGTCACCAACACCTACTTTAGATATAGTTTGGAAAAAAAATGTTACTATTGATATACTAAATTCTTTATCAGCAGCAAGACTGGCAAGGACAATATCAATGCAGTTCAGAGATAAACTAAAATCGTCACATGATACATTTCAAGCAGCTCTTAGATCTTTAGAAAATTATTATTCCGGGAAATTAGAGAGAACAGAAGAACAAAGAATAGCTATCAGAAAGTATCATGCTCCTAGATTGGCTAAATTAGCATTGGAATCAACATCAATGACCGATGTCGTTCGCTACGGTATTCCTCATTGTGGCAAAGAAATTGGTCGTGGTCAGTATGGAGTTGTGTTTGCTTGCGACGGTTGGGGCGATGCACCAGGTCCATGTGCAGTCAAATCCGTGGTTCCGCCAGACGAAAAACATTGGAATGATCTTGCTATGGAATTTTATTACACCAGATCCATTCCAGATCATAAAAGAATAGTCAAACTTCGAGGATCGGTCATAGATCAATCTTATGGCGGAGGTTTTGGTTTCGGGTCCGCAGTTCTGTTAATATCAGATCGTTTAAGTCGCGATCTGTACTGTGGAATACGAGCTGGTTTATCGTGGTTGGAACGTATACAAATAGCAATAGATGTTCTAGAAGGAATACGTTATCTTCATTCGCAAGGCCTCGTCCATCGTGACATAAAACTGAAGAATGTTCTTCTTGATACAGAGAATAGAGCTAAGTTAACAGATCTTGGATTTTGTATCACAGAAGCAATGATGTCAGGAAGCATTGTGGGAACACCTGTTCACATGGCACCAGAACTTCTGTCTGGCCACTATGATAGTAGCGTTGATGTATATGCATTTGGAATTTTATTTTGGTATATTTGCGCGGGACACGTGAGATTACCGTACGCCTTTGAACAGTTTCATAATAAAGAACAATTGTGGACCAGCGTAAAGAAAGGTATTTTTAATTGGTCTTAAAGTTTTGAGATATTTATTTGATTCTTTATATTTTCTAATCGTTACTTATATCGTTAGGCATCCGACCTGAGCGTCTGGCTATTTTTGATGATGAGTGTTGGAAATTAATGGAACAATGCTGGTCTGGAGAACCGTCTAAACGTCCTTTACTCGGAGCGATATTACCAGTCTTAGAATCTATACAACGAAAAGCAGAAAGAGGCAAGTCCTTACAACAGCTCTCCACGCTGAAACTACAAGAAAGCACGACATCAGATATAAAAAATCCTGTATTAGCATTAGCAGAACCTAATAACCAAAGAGGCACTATAATCAGCCCACTTACTGCAAAACGTAGAATAATTAGACATGTAAAACATCCTGTTTTTCACATGACTAATTTATTTCAAGCAAGTGTGTGTTCTAACCTATATGTTCAAATGCGAGAATTTTGAAAGAAATTTATGTTCTCTCTTTTGGCTTTGGAATTTGAAAATGATCTGACTATTTTTTACCATAATTTAACATATGCTTATAAAACAATTTATCATTCTTTACAATGCATAGTTAACATTTTAATGAATGGTATTTTATGTTCAGTATTAATTTGACAATCTTGCCTTTACTGTTACTGTCCGAAATTGTTTTTATTTTTTAATCTGTTTATTTAGTAACAATCAACAAAATTATTAGACCATGTAAATAGAATGTACAATGAAACGACTATAATTACTGTGTAAATTTCTTTTTATATTGATAACATAAATGGTTGTGATATTTGATAATGTTTTACATACATATGTGATTAGCGAAATATGCTAGAAATTTTAACAAAACAATACCAAATACCTCATTGTGAATAAAAAGGGTTGTTGATAAGAAAAAAAAAACAACAAAAAAAATATTCAAAATTGTATAACCAATGTTGAAGAATAAATAAAGTTTCCAAGTTTTCTATTCAATATTTTAATGTTATTGCAATGTTTCTTTTCAAATATCCAGTCATTATGCTTTTAGATTTTTATAGAATTGTTATTAATGGTTCAGTGATAGATCTTATACACTATTTATGAAAATTTATGTTATTTTCAGATGAGAAATTCTTCGAAATAAAGTCTACATGAATCTCCAAGTGGAATTTAATCAAAGTGGTTAAAATCTTTTATCACTTGACAACAAATAACGTTTTTATTATACAGCTGGATTGTAATATAGATACACTCTTGATTAGCAACAGGTATCAAAAACCCAAATTTGTATATATTTGTAAAATAGTGGAGTCATAATCTCTAAAGGTATAATATTTATTAAGTTGTATAAACTAGACTTGTAATTTGTATGATAGAGTATATTTAAAATAACTAAGTTAAATACAATTCCATGTTTGAAGCATCACTTTTATATATTAAAATTCATAATTTTGTATAAGACAGTTCCAATAGATTAATAAGTACATGTTATTTATGATACAATGTATTATTTAATATAACAATATAATTATACAAATGAAGTTTTATTTTTACATACATGTATCAAGATATGTACATCCATTTACAAGTAAGTGCTTAGGTATACTTAATTAAAGTAACAAATCAAGATTATTGTTTGCCTTTTCTAAATCATGTAAAAACTTGTAAAATTCACTTATAGTCATTTCTATAAAAATATTATTAATTTTACTATTTTCTTCCATACATAGCTTAAGTTGAAAAAATGATTTTCCCACATTATCAGATTCATTACTTGCTGCTGTTACTGCAATAATGAAACTAGGATTTAAAATATGTTTTGATCTTTTCTACAAAATGTAAATATATGTCACAAATTTATATAAAAATTGTTTCTTTTTTAACATTAAAAAATTACACTGTTACAATTTAAAATAAAACTAAAAACTTTAGAACTATGGTTCATATTTTAAGGTTAGATTCTTACCACCGAATCTCCAAGAAACATCGATTATTTTACTTATCGCTTTTACCATTTTAGAGTAAGTATTATTGTTTCTTATATTGAATCAGTTGTCCTTATCTTTAGTCTATCATCAACTGATAGAAATTGTTACTACAACGTGAAACTGTTGTCTTATGAATCTCATACAAATTTTTCGCTTAATGCAAGCATTACGATATGTTTGATAACAGCGTTAATATAACATCCAAAGCTTATTACAAAATAAATTAACGTTCCATATTATTAAATAAGATTTTTATTTGATATACTTTCACACAGAAAGAAATAAACACCTCTGAATTGCACTTATGGCGCCATCTAGTGTTAGTATAAGAAATTAAATGACGATCAATTTTTTGCGCTACCTATCGGCTACAATCGTAAGTGCAAATCGGTCACCTAACGCTAGATGGCGCTGACTAATATTTTTTAATTTATTCAAATTATAATTTGAACATTAATTATTAATAATCTTCTTGCTAAAGATAAAATATATTGATCGTACTTAATAAGGTAATTAGTTCGTCGATTTGCAACTCAAATTCTTAAAAGTAGCAAAGATATGCTCACACTGAAATCTTCCATTTCATTGACGGTCCATTCCTTTAATGCAAAACCGCTACTTTCATTTAATTGACTGAAGAATTGGGTTAATCATATGTATTCTATCCGGCGTTACCTTGAACTGTGACCTATGCAAAATAATTACAATCTCGTATCAGAAGGGACGATAAAATATTTCAAACTCTTATCTACGTTGAGCCAAGGTTGGTTACAGAAAGGGAAAAAAGGGATTGCCGTGTAGTTACAGCTCTGTGACCAAAGAGCTGGCAGCCAAGCCAGCTTCGATAAATCCTTCGTACGTCTAGTGTGTCGGTTCGAAAATAGAATTACTCAGTTTTGATAAGTATAATAACGAAATACCGATGGTCCCAAGAATCGATCGTATCGATTCAAGTATCGCACGTTAATCTTTATTACAACGGATTAAACACGCAATCATATTTGATCACTCAGTGATTTACGCCCGTTGATAGAACTTTTAATTACACAGGTCTTCTCGTCTCGATGAAATATCGATTCTATTCGTTTTGCTCATAGCGAAAAGATTTCCTTTCGTTCGTTAAGTCCTTTGATACAGTCAACGGGACAACTTGATTTATTATATTTTTTAAAAGAATAACCGATAATAAATGAAAATTCCCAAGGAAATTCCATGGCTTCGCTTAATTCCTGAATTATACGATAACCACGGAAGAGGTGTCACGAAGATTTTGTAAAGTGCTGGTATTACTTTTCCTCGGTCAGATCTCCGCGAACATAATAAATACAAATGCGTTGTGCGTACCCCGCCGCAAAACGAAAAGAATACCTTCAGTCGCGATAGCGACGCTTTGGACAGCTTGCCATTATTTTAGAGCACTTTTTATGGCGGATAAAAAGTGACAAGAAATATTTTGCGATGTTTAAAAAGACGTCGCACGATTAGATCTCCGGGAAGCAAATTGGTTATGTCTTGTTAGAGCTTTCGCGTCGATTAAGAACGAAAGGGAAGAGAAGAACGCGATACGCGTGCCGTGGTGTTTAAATTTAGATGCAAATTTTCTCTATACATCGGGCCATTGTTTTCCCAGTATTCATAAATAAGAGACGGGTGGATAACAGATGGAATCTCTTAAACGAAAGCAAGCAAGAACTTGCGGTTCACTTTCGTGGAACTTTTGAAATGCCATATTTGTTGCCGAAGCTTGTTAGAATTTCTAATTAAGTCACACACACCGAAATGATATATCTGTTTTAAGCTACTGCAACTTTACCGAAATTATACCGATCCTATAATGCGTAAATAATTCGTTTGCGAGAGAAAAAATAAAATATGAATTTTCCACGGTAACGTTACAGTGTGTGCACTTACTTTTGTTTTACAAGTGAAGTACTTTCTAAGTTGTAAAGAGTCAACCTTGCCGTACCATGTAAAATATCCCATTTACTACATCTTAATTGGAAGGAATATGGAACTCTTAGTTACGATTAAAGGTTAACCTTCGTTGGTTTCAGTTTTAATTAAGGAATGGAAAGGGTAAACACCGAGTGCGTAGAAAAAAACATGCTATTAGATGGTGTCTTATATCGTAGAAAGTATTTTAAGCGGTTCGTTTGCATTCCACTTTCGAAACTGTCCGACAATTAAAACGTTCAAACGCCAGGCCACGTTTCCGCGTGTCGTTTCGTGTGCACACCCACACTTTGGACAGTTCGTTTGCATAGTATCTTCAAGCTGTTCCGTTTCTCTCCGAATTTAACGAGATCACACCGCAGCCGGTGCTTTTTGCTAATCGAGCTGCTTTCCTGGTTGACAACGGGCGATCGTTTGACGGAAGAAAATAGATGCCGGAGGGGGTAAATAACACGGCAAGGGGATAGGGCAATAGCCGTAAAATCAAGAAGGGGAACAAGACGTTAAAACGCAGCCCAGTTGTGCCAATTCAAGGAGAAAATTCGTATAAGCGGCAACGCTTTTAAACATCATCCCTATCCTTCAGTTCCCTTCTTTTTACGTTGCTTACGTTCAACTTTTTTCGCTTCCTTGTTGATTCGATTCATGATTAATGGACGAGCACCGGGTGCTCCCGAGTCGCGGAGTTATCTTCATATTTATTTGGTTATCGCAAGGTAATGTAACAAGAGCAAACGCTATTTCAAGTTGCTGACTATGCGGGTGTTCTCACAATAGCCTCTTCATAGCTCTCGAGGCTCTCTTGAAATTGAATACTGTCACCGTATACTTGTAACTGCCGGCCCACTCGTTGACTTCTACTACTGGACTCCACGCTACGCTTCAAAGCACTACTACTTCCACACTCTAGTTCTGTTGACTGTCACAATAGTATAGCTACGTTGAGTACGGTGCACTATGACATGAATTTTTAAGGATATTCGAGTAATATTTGCGATGCTCTTGGTACTCGAAAGTGACTCTCTGATAAAAGAATTCGAAAGTCCTGAGCACTCGACGGGAAGTTTGTCATAAATCTAGACCGAGTTTGTCACACGACTACGAACCGAGGCATGTTGGCGATGGAAGAATCCCTCTAGCAGAAATAATCGCATCCAACAATGCTATCGAATGAATCACCTTGTACTTCTGCATTTGTATTCGGCATGGATATTTCACATTTTCATCCGAATGTTAAGTAGGCGACGCTTTACAGCGGGTAATGGTCTTATCATCTGCATATACCGCCATAACGGGTTCAAGAGGTTAATAAAATTCAACCGGCATTCTTATGACCACGTGCAGCCCTGCACACGCACAAGAACATCGGATTCACGTTCCTCGCGAGTAACTCGTGGATCCTTGGTTAGTGTTGGTGAGGATTCCTGCAACTGGGTGGGGCGGCGCGGAGGCGCCTGCGTCGCACGAGATATCCAGGAGCGTGTCTCCTGGGTTATCCTTAAAATACCCGGGCTATCCTATTACCACGAAATTCGAATCGTGGCGGCTTATCATTAATCACAGCCTCCCTTCGGCGACGCGAGTCGTTGGGGCGCAGCTCCGTGTCCTTCTCCACACTGCTCTATATACGTCCGTGTACGCTTTAGAACGCGTTGCGTGCTCGTCCTCTTACACACACTATCTCTCTCTCTCTCTCTCGTTCTTCTTGCTCTCTTTCCATTACTCGATTCCTAACAGCGTTGGTTAGAAGGGCCCGATTCACGACGGACCAGTGAAAGAGAACGAAGTCGGCAATAAATCTACGGCCGATGAACGAAGCGGATGCCTGCTTGCTCCCGCGCTCACTCGATCGACTTTTATTTCAAAGGTGGCCTGGAAAGGGATAGACGAGAGTGCCTAAGGGAGATGTAAGGGAGTAGCGGAGAAGAGAGGTCGGATGTTCGTGCACGAGACGTGAAACACGGCCTAGTAATTTAGAGAAAATTCAAACACACTCTGTAATTGCATAGGCATCTCTGTGCTTTGCCTTGTTGCTTTTTTGGAGGTTTGCTTTTTCATCGACAGGCCGGGGAGCTGAAAGGGTTTCTAATTAAATGACGCGGTCGCGCGTCAAAGAACGTATCAACTGTTCTAAGAGAGCAGCGCGGAACATTTTTTTTACAGCAAACACGTTTAACTCTTTTCCCTTTGGAAACCGATTACGACTATAGCCATTGTTCGCAGAATGTGCTGTGAGTTACGATGTCAACCATGGTCGCTCGCAACGATACGCAATTTGCACGAATATAATAATAACCCGATATAATAACCTTATATAATAACTCGATCTTTGTACGATGATTTATTGGAAAATTTTTTTCTATATACTAGAGAGAGAGAGAGACATTAACTTTGTTGTTCAATCATTTCCATTTTGTAAAAATTTTCTTGTAAGAAGCTCCGCGCAAGATATTTTTGCGCAAGGTGCTGAATAACGTTCCTTGCTAACTAAGGATTTGTATCATACGCTTATTAATTACATCGAACTTACGGTGCCGAAGTCATTAATTTTCTGCTTGTTATTTATTTGATTCATTCTCCTCTCTACTAGGTTCAGATTTATCGCTCCACACAATATATACATACATATTTCCTCCCGCTCCATCTCTTTCCCTAACCTGCTTCGTCTCTCCTACGCTTCAACCGCTATAGCTCTATCAACGGGCCTAGCATGGCAATGCGGTGACACTTTTCGACGTGGATCGTGCTGCGTGGCACTCAAACGGTTAACCGCGAACTCGATGGAACTCTCGATGTCGCGAGAGGGACTGAAAGTTACGGATGGAAAAGATGAGACACGTCTACGGGTACAAATACGAACCGATCCTTTTCCTGGTGGTCCGTGGTCGACTTTGCTGAGAGCGTTACGAGAACTTATTACCATCTAGATCCGTAAAGGCTCCGCGTCACCGTGGATAAAAAGAACGTCAAAGTAGATAAATCACGACTCTGCACTGGAAAATTGCGATTGACGACTCGCCGTGTTTGTTTCTGTTAACTGATATAATTCATCGCTACACATTTCGTAAAAAAACCGACCGTATGTTTGTAAAGAAATGTCAAGTTATCGTGAAACATTACGGAGGAACGAGTGTTTCATTCCAGCAGTTGCCCGCGAATCCATCACTAAAAGCTAAGTGGAAAAATCCGTTTACTACACTCATAAACGATCGAGTTGGTGGCTGCACTATATATATATACCTTCTTCTTTCTTCATCTTTTATATCCAGTTCATTTTACGAGCGGACGATGCACGGTCACCGATCCGAGAAGAGTTAACAGTGGCCAACGTAGCTCGACTTTGGCGATGCAACAAGAAACGTACACTGTACCTAGGTAAGACCGTTGATTAACTAATCCATTTACAATACCAATACACCGAGCTTTAAATGTGAGACGACTGGAGTAAATTCAACGAAAACAAGAATGGGTAGTTGACAGAGAACTTGCGAGAAAGTTGTTGCGGTTGTCCCTCTGTTGGCAAATACGAGAACCGTCACCATAGAATAATAAAATAAACACGAATGTTGATTTTGGAGCGAAAATAAAAAACGACGCGTTAGAATAATAAAAGAAAGTAATTCCATTTTCTGCGTTATAATAAAATTCCGGTTTAGCTTTCCATTCTGTAAGCACCGCGCGAAACGTAGGGGCAAGACGTCGATGTTGGAACCGCCTACGCGAGGGGAAAGCATTCTTGAACACGCCGTCGACTCGTAATTTCCAACGTCGAATGTCTACGCGGACGCACAATAAATGATAAAAAGGACTAACAAACGGCTAGGTAGAGCAGAAAAAGGAGGAAGCGTGCGCGCACGACGCGCAAGAAACGAGCGTTCGCGGAGAAGAGGCGATGCAAGGGGCAAACGAGAAGAAGAGCGTGTAGCGACAGTCGTGTGTACCAGTCCGTTCCGAGCGACACGATGTGTTTCCCCACGCTTTTTGTTTTAATTTCGTAGAGGCCACCGGCTCTCCTCATCTTTTCCCTCTTCCTCGCTCGTGGGAGAGCCGCGAAATGTACCGCGGTGGTTTTCAGCGCCGCGAATGCTGTTGGTATACATGGTGTCATGTAACTATCGATGTAACCAGATTAAAATTCTTCGCGAAGAAGTCTGTCACGTGAAATAATAATCTGTAATATAGGACATGATGTACTGTCGCATCGTAATCCAAATGCAGGGAACTCCTTAAACCAGAAGATTTAATATCGCATTTCCCTTGCGTCTCGATCCTTGTTTTTGGAGTCCCGTTAAATGTATCGTGAATACTGACTGTGTAGCTAACAATACATTTTTGGCTCAGCAGGTTTGAGAAATAGTACGAGTCAGCGTTTTAAAATTCTTTTGTCGTTGGAAAATGATGGAGACCTATTTTTCTTGTTAATGGCAACGGAATAAAATTACGTCGTGCATCAGTAAAATAGAAACTACTAATTTTCGTTTGGATTGTTAAGTAAGTCGCGAGAGGTCAGAGGATGAAAAGACAAAGCAAACAAACTAGAAAACAGAGTACCGCACCAGCAAATTTTGTTTCACGTTATTCACTTAATTTCTTAACGAGGAATCTCAATTTTCCCGGTTGCATCGCCGAGTTACACGACACCCTGTATATTCTCGACTCTCTCGCTCTCTTTCTCTCCCCGTTTTGATCCTGTGTCGTTCTCGTCTCTTCCCTCTCAGCGACTCGCTTCTTCCCTCTCTCTCACGTCCCGTACTGTTCCCCGTTTTCCTTCTTCCCTCCACCGTGTCATCCCTTCTCCTCGTTCGCTTTCGCCGCCACCCCTTCGAGTCGGTAAAGGGCTGAACCGGCCAGTGCAATTCACGACGAGCTCGAGGTTGAATCTGTACGCGTCTCTCGTCCCGTTTAGCGCGATTTTTTTCACGCGTTGCTCGCGTTTGATCGCGCGGCAAACCGTGCTGTCGGTTCGACTCCTTTTGATAATATCGAGCGTAACCGCGCGGTGAAGTTTATTTCCAACTTGTTCCGCGTTACGTCGTTCGTAATCGCGCGCTCCTTACCTCTCCTCGTTTCTCATCGTTTCGCACAAGCTCGTTTCGTCGCGTCGTGCGCGTTTACTCGTACTTTCTCATCCCCTTTCTCTCTCTGTCTCTTTCTCTATCTCCTTCCTCTCTCTCTCTCTCTCAGGTCAATTAGCGTGCAGCCCAGTTTAATGATCTTTCGAACGTCATTAAACTGGCGCTCGGTCGGGGTGCACTCGAGGCGTGAACTTCGACGGGCAAGCTCGGCGTCAAGTAGCTGGAAAATGATACGTTCGGGACGACGGCGACAACGTAACTTCGATGGTCGTTAAAGCACGGCTAGAAGTTATCGGCGTGATGTCAACATCGTCGCGTCTGTCTTTCCTGTCCAAGCCGACGATCTCGTAACCTAACGAAGACGCGGAATGTCGCGACAACACGTAAGTTTGCGACATCTTCCATCTCATTTTTGATATTTGTTTTACGCGCACGGTACACCGATCGTGAACAATTAGCCTCGTTGAAAGCGTAATTGTCGCGGTTGATGAAAGAGGGAAACTGATGGTTTGGTACGAGTCAATAGAAAGACCGTGGAAAACATGAAAGAACGTATAATTTGAATCGCCTTCATGATTCATCGAGTATATTTTTCTCCCTTTTCGCTATTCTCCCTTTGCGGTTGGCCCGCTTTTTCGTTTTTTTTATTACGATCCACGAACTCATTGAGTATTCATTCAATACACACGTTTCTTTCCCCTTTTCTTCTGTGGCGTGTACCTCTGAACGTGCAAGCCTGTGTAACAACGTCCGTCTCTACTGAAATTCCGCTCGAGTGTCAGACGTTTTTGCGTAAAAGGGGGTCAAAAGAACGGACGGACGGATCTTTTTTGTCCGCGCCCACCACGATATCCTGACTACCCGTCGTGTATGCAAGTGTACTCGACTCGTCGCGTCTGTGACAACAGGCGTAATTCCGTAAATTTCGTTGAATGTCTCGTCGTAACCATGTTACGCGCCATTCGTTCGATGTAACCGTGTGTTCGCTTCGATTCTTCGGACCGAGTAACTCGACGAAACTGGATCTCCAACTTGGCCCTGATAAATTTTCACCGGAGCTGGGGCGTTATCTCGTGCAATCGAGCGAAGGGTTAATGAAGCAGTTAATTTTCTGCCGACAAATCGCGACGCTCTGGCGGGTTTCGATTCGTTAAAACGCGACGGGGAAAGAGAAAAATGTCGCGTACGAGTTTCGATCGTTGAATTTTGGTTCGCTGCGTCGAAACCATTTTGGGAAATGGAAAAAGGAATGGAAACTCGGTGCTGGCGCGAGGAAACGGTTACGTGGAGTTTTTAACGCGGTTGGGGAAACAACTCAAAAACCGGTGACGTGTTTCTTCTCGTGCAAAAGCTGAGAGAAGAAGTCGGCTCGACGGAAAAAGAGAAGGAGAGGACGAAAAAAAAAAAGCGGGACTCATTAATTCTGTTTTTTCGTGCACGATAATGGAAACTCGCCCGAACTTTCTTATTCGTTCGTTAGTCACTTTTGGACGCCGTGAAAAGACAGCCTTATTTCGCGGTGGCGGCAGAAGAAGAATCTCGACATTCAACGAGGCAATTAAACGGCCCGATAATTGCAGCGATTACGGACCGATAAATCGTCGGTTGTTATCGGAGGCATCATTTGGCATATTAATTTGATCGGTGTCGATTTGGTCGACACGTAAACGATTACTTTAATTGGCTCGCCACCGACTCGTTTCCCGTCCTGTTTTCCGATAATTGTTCACACGTATAAAATGGCGCATAAGAGTATGTTCACGGCCGGATTAGAGTTAAACCGGGACGGATCTCGCGACGCGGCGTTTCGCGAACCAACCAAATTTATTCCATCTCAAAGCGAACCATTACAGCGTGAAACAAGTCTTTCGCGGTTGTTGAAATAACTCACCGTGAATGGGACTCTGCCGTTCGAGTTCTATCGCGAAAAATTAGTTTGCGAACGCGTTAACTAGACCGCTGGCCGATGGAACGCGCCGAACGTAATTTTGGCTAATTCAAAACCTGCGAGGAAGGATTAGGCAACGGGATTTACGCGAACTGCTTGAAATCAGTTTACCGCGAAACAATGGCCCGTATTCTTCTCCGGCTTTCTTTCTCTCAATTTGTTCGAGTGTTCTTGCTCGGTATTGTGCAGTTAACGTCGTTATTTGCTAACTATGTGTTTGCAAATATTCAAAGTGTCGTGCAACTGGTGGTAGAAGGGAAAGTGTAGTGATTCTATGCAAGAAAATGCGTAACAAGTATGGAATAGTTTTTTCATTCCAGCCTTTTCTTTCGACAAACTTTATTTTCAAAGTTTTCTCGGTACGAGTTCGCTTGACTTCCGGTGAAGAAGCCGCGCTTTCACAGACACTTCAAAATTGTCGATTTTCAGCTTCCAACGATTTCTTAAAACAGGAACGTTCCACTCGCAAATACGATGAGTCGAGCGAAAACATGGCGCACTTAAAAAAATTCGATTCCACGTTTTCCATCCATCATGCTATCTCCCTTGAAATCATATTTAGACTCGTACCATTGGTTATACATATGACGCTTTTTACGAACACTCTGCGAGGAGCAGTCGTAAGAGCATCATTTTTTGTCGAACGTTTGTCGACTTTTGTCAGCGAACATCGGAAAGGTTCGCTCGCGAAGGAATTCATCGGTGTTAACGTTCATCGTTGACGTCGACTGGTGTATGCTTTGTCAGTGAGACAGATCGAATGTCCCCGTTGATTGCTTTCTTCGGTTCCACGCTTTTCTGCGATGATCAATAACACTGTCAATAGTGATGAACGACTTGTAGAAAATATATTTCCACCTGATCGCCTCGTGCGTTCGGTGAACCGAGATCCGGTTCATGCGAGTCTCCAAGTGCAGCTAGCAATTTTCGGCCAGTAATTTCGGATTAGTTCAAATTCGAGCTAATTTCACGGGCTTCGAGATCGCTTCGGCTGAAAGGGGAAACGTTGTCTCGTAACGGAAATCGTGACACGATATCTTTCGATCAGAGCAACAAACAGGATGTTGCTTTGTATTTTCCCGATCGTTTCCAAACGCCGTGATTTAGCAGAAAATAATGGTAATCGGATGTATCGTCATCGCGATAATGCAACCAGTACTCGAATAAATCCGTTTACGAGTTTTATTGTTCTCGGCATAAATTTAATGATGCTTCTCGTAGAAAGCCGAAAATATATTAACAATTTACAATAATATTCGCGCATAAATTAAACGCATCGAATATATGGTAATAGATTCCATTCAGTTGCTGCGTTTTAAACGGGTGATTTCGAAGCGTAGACGGTCGGCGATAATTTAACGACACGAAAGTATTGCGAAATGGTACTTGCGGCATACGAATTCGCAACTGAAAAATTTACAAATATGATTATGCATTTCATTCGTATTCGCAGGAGGTACTAAAGGGACCAATGATATTGTCCATTAGCGAATATTTGTTTTGCACTTGTTTCATACTTTAAACACGATAGGAAATTGGATATTTGTTAATGGAATCGGTTGTTCCCACGAAGAACCATCTCTTTTTTTTATTAAGAATGAAACGTTTAGCCACTTTCAATGAACAATGAGCTTTAATTTGATAAGTGAGAAGCGATATCTCGCGTTACCTTCATGCCACGGTATCGTGTTAGATCCATGTTTCGAAAGTTACCAATTGCGATACACTTTGATGTAATAAAAATATGGGTTCCTACGAGTTTCGTATCGCGAGTGTAAATCTGATTCATAAAACACAAAAGGCACGAAATTATCGAGCGATTTACCGAAAGAAAATTCTCGCTTCAGTCGTTTTAATAAAACGTCATTTTTCATTTTACGTACTTTTACCTTTCAAGGAATATCAAGCGTAAAATGTTTCGCCTTCCCGAAACGGTTTCTCGCAAAAATCTCGATCGGTGGCTGGCGCCTCGACGTTGCTACATTTATGTTTCCTTCTTCTTTCCTTTTTCATCCTTTCCCTCGCATCGCGAAAGGTATTCCTTTTTATTCCGGCGGACAATTCGCCTCTTCGCGCTTAACATCATCGTGTAATATTCTTCACGGTGTAAGGTCTTTAGAAATGTTTTTTCAAAGCTTTTGCGGCCCAGACACCACCAGGAAACAAAGCATTTCGTGGAATAGCGTTGCACAACTTTTCTCCTCGTTCGAGCGTGTTATTAACTCGCGCGAAATCCAGACCGTTTCCTCCATCTCCTGTTCCGTTCGTATTTTCGTTTGATTCTGGAACGTTCCCCGGACGAACCATCCGACAGAAACTTTCGTTCGGTTGGTTGCACGAAATATACAACAAATTTCGTTTCGGACCCCGTACGAAATTTCGTAATCCCCGCACGTACAGATAATGGATCCGCGACCGGATAATGCATGTTCACGAATATGAATGAACAATCAAATACTGTAGATTCTCATTATATTACCACCTTTACACGGATTTTCACACGGACCCCTGTCACTCTGCGCACACGGGGAGCAACGTAAATCATCGCAACATCAACGTTGTATGTTCGAGCGTCACATATGTGTTGTACGTTCGATGCAGCACCAAAAATCCAAGAGTTTTCTAGTCCCGAAGGTTCCGTAACGAGAATCTGCTGTACTCGAAGCATAGAGATTTCGATGAATCGTCGCGTATTGGTCGCGTTTTGTTCGAAAGGGAACAGAGAAAATCGTAGAAGCGTCGCGACGCCATGTTACGGGCTGCGGCGTCCCGACGGGAATAAAGGGCAACGATTTTCATTTAAATGTCTTCGGGTCAGTCAAGTGGCCAAATAGGACGTGGCGTTCGACGACGATTGACCCGATAATTGATACCGAGCCATAGGTTAAATCGATGCTCAGGATTATCGGCACTTTAATCGCCACGGCAATGGTGCAATTTCGTGTTTCACGAGAAACGCAGAGAGAATAGCGGTAACAGAGAGAGAGCGAGAGAAAGAGAGAGGAGGCTTGTACATAGCGAGGCGAACTTAATTACCAAGTACGGATGCCAAATCCAGGCCAAACCGTTCCATCCCGTTCACGTACGAACGATACGTGTTTATGCGAAAACGTGGCGGTTGAATCTACATTATTCAAGTTAGGACTTTCTTCGATGCATCCCTATAATAATGCCAAGTTTATCCTGTCTTCTCCGTATTAAGCTATCCCGTCATCTCTCACGGTGCAACAGATCTACGGGATATGTTCCTTTTCAATGAACCACGTCGTTGGAGTTCACGTTCGATAAACCCGATAAATTCAGCCGATAAATGCCCTTCCGGATACCAATTAGTATTCATAAAGTCGGCCGCTCTTTATCCTCTGTTCTCGATCCTGCGACCGTAATCCGCCATATTTCCACTTGATACGTGACGTCTTGTGACTTTGCTCTCCACGAATAATTTCGTGACTCGTGTTTGGAGTCCAATTAGTAGTTTCTCCAGTTTACCGTGTCGCAAAGTGGTGCGTGTAAAATTATTTACGACAGCGAAGTATTGGGTAATTTCGAAGTTCTTTGGTTTATTTTGTCGAATCTGCTCGTTTCGATTCGCAATATTCGGCCGCTGAATCGCACCGGAGGCAAATATACGGTAATTTTGATCGCGAATAATGAACGTTCGTTGTTAGAATTCGTGCCGGGAGTCCGTTCGTTACAGAGCGCTTCTTTTCAAAAGAAATAATATAATCTCGAATCACGCTCATCGTTCGTTTGTTGCAATTTTCCTCGAATTATATAACGGGGTTAAACTTTCATCAGCTTTAGAGCGTTAAAATTAAAAATCATGATCTCGTATGAGACATCGAAAGCGTCAGGCGTACAAAAGAAAAATTGATCGCCTAATCTTTACGGGGCAAAATTGAGTTACATCGTAGTTATTCACTGTCAGTGACTGGAGACCGGATTTATTAAGAATAGGTTCATATTTTCTGGCAAGCTTATTATTCGCGTACCATCCATCGCTGCGTTTCCCGAGATATTCCAAGATGGAAGTTTAAAAGCCCGAACCTTTTCACTTAGACTAGAACTTTTAAACGGCCAGGTGAAAGATTCAGGAAACGCTCGTGCGCGGGTCCGGTTCTACTACGAACGAAAACCAAAATCTTCGAGTAAGAAAACCACCGACTCGAACAAAACTTTCCGTACAAGCGCGAAAGTATTTAATCTATGTCCGCCCATTTGCATAAACATCTCAGCCGCCTGTAACTAAGTTTAGAGTTAGAGTAGATAAAAATAGAGCAAAGAGCAGCGGTGTAAAAGTTAAACGTCGAAATCACAAATTACGTCCGGCGGCGTGTTAAATAAAAAATTAAACTCTTAAGGAAGGAAGTTTATTCGAAAAAAGATCGGGTGTTAGAACTTCGCAGACGCATCCTGCACATAACGCGAGTTTTTCTCTTCCTCGAAGCGTTTTTGTCCCTTAACTTTGCAACGTTCTCTCTAGTCGTTGTTCCGCGAGCGATAAGATTTATCACGATACGTCGAAACATTTATCAACAATTTCACGGCAGTCACCTCGCGCTTTCCACGTGTCTCGCACACATATCAGACTTACCGTAGCGGTGGTTTCGCTGTCGTTATTGTTGCTTCCAGTCCGGTCGCATCGCATCGTTTATATCCCCGTTTGCCTCGCTCTCGTTTTTCCTCATCTTTTTTATTGCTCCGGCTTGGCCGCGACCTTAGTCGCTCGTTAAATTTCGCGCCGTCTTCCGAGGGCTTAACGCTCCGCGTAGTAAAGCTTGGAGAAGGGCTCTCGTGGACGAGGAAAAGTCGCTTTCCACAAACGTATCGCCAAGAGGTTGGCCGCTGTCGGCGTTGTTGCTCCTGCCGTTGCTCTTACCGCTGCAACCATTCGTTCGTTTCCCCAAGGATTCTCTAATAAGTGATGATCTTTTAATAAATGCCTTCTCTGTCTTTCCATTACGACGTTCGAGTTGAAATTTTACCGTGCTATCCACTCGTACCAAAGAGTCTCGTGATGAATCGTCGAAAGCGTTTCTCGTATCTCGTTGGTAATTCCCACGGGCGGATGCCACGTTCCTCTGCTGGAAACGAAAGCACGATACCTACAAGCGGATCAACACGGATTTTTTTATCCGGCGCCAATCGTTTTATCGCTCTGTGTCCTGAAACCTTATCAAAGCTATCTACAGCCCCGTTTCGAGGAACAGCTTCTCTTAATCCTTATGTAAACGCACGATGTATTTGTGGTTTCTCATAACTTCAATAATGGGATACTTTTACTATGTAATCGATGATGTACAGAGCAACTGAAAAGTTGGCTGTTCGTATTCTTTATAATCTGTATTGTATCGGTACGTCTGACCACATACGCCTCTATCTACTGCAGCGGTGAATGTGCTAATCTTTAATGCAACGGTGGCTGAATCTTTTTAAAAAGTCATCGGTTTTCACTTCCGATACAGAATAAGTATTGTTTCAATGAAAGAACATTCTGAGGATATAAGTGCAGTAGAAGCCTTTTGAAATTCTTGAAAATTCTTAACAGCGATGGATGCTGATTTACGCTGTCGTCAACACAGTAATCGAATTAACTCCTTCGCGCGTCGAAAGGGCGTCGCAGAGAGTTCAAGATCGATTCTTAGTACTTTCAACGTTTTCAATTACGGTAACGGTTCGAAATGCGGTCTATGCGAGCGTATTTCCGTGGAAACGACACGGAATAACCGTCGGCAGAGATAAGAGAACGCCCCCGATATTACGGATCTAATTCGAGCGGTCCGTTCCATCACTTCGTCGAACGAATTCGGGACGATTTCGAGCGGATTTAAACAAAAAGGAGCTTACCTTCAAAATTTGACGACGGTCGATTGTATCGTGCGCGGTTATACGAGATTGCTAGGCAAACTGTATATCCACTTTGGTCGAATTTCAGGAGCAGCGGGAACGAGGCAGCCCTTAAAGGAACCGAATCATCCATAATCCCCGAGCCGAGGGCCACGTTCGGTTCGGTCCTTCCTACCCGGATACTAACGGCACGGGACAGCTCAAATTCCTCAAAGGAGCTGGTTAACCATCCCACGATCTTCCACGAAGACACACCGATACACGGGGACGCGGTCACACGCTATCCGTGTATAGGTGCACGCAGGTGGACGATCCAGGAAGGAAGTTGAAGCCGAGAGGTTGGTCGGCCGGAAGCACGAAGCGTTAACTCGCTCGCCTAAAGACACAGTCGTCGAGGTTGCTGGCCGTGGTTGCCGCAAACCAGCATTCCACAAACTTGCGCAATATCCACAAACCCGTGTAGCCGCGAAATTCTTTGGCAAATCTTGGTGTTTGCCTAGACGCAACGCGTTCCGAGCGCTGCATCGCGCTAGGAGCAGTTACGCGAGGCGAAACCGCGTCATCGAGAAGCAGCCGAGCGAGAAAAATGCAGCGGTGAAAGAGGTTGGAGAAGAGGAGGAGCGTTGCTCGGTTCCGTTAACGCTCGACGACGACGACGACGACGACAGCGACGCGGTTTGGAACGGACGAGACGTTCGCGAAACGGAGAAAACGGGCGGGACGAGGGTGTCCCGCTTCAGCCGGAATATTAGTCGTGTCGTTTAATGATCCTCGTGTTTCTCCAGCCACGAATCGGCTCCGGTAATATCCTGCGACGTTTTACACAGTCCGTATAGTTCTACCGGCTCGCTTGGCGGCGGACCCTTCTCTATCATGCGCTGACATTTTTTTCCAATTAAAAACGAACCGTTCGCGGAAAGGGACAATGAGATTCGTTTGACGACGGTCGTTCTCGCAAGACGCGAAAGCACGATTCGTTATCTGCGTTGATGCAGACAGGTTGAGCGACGTTTTTGTTTAAAAGAGGCCGTGCGCAAGAGCGGAGCAACGAGAACGGTAATATTAATGTTATATATTAAGCGTCCGGGCTTTCTGCTCGGCAAAGAAAGCGCGAAATTTCCACGCGATTGCGCGAGTATCAAACGGGACGAGAGCAGGAAGAGCTCGGTGTGCTCGAGTAAAGGAGCGGAACAGTGGATGTTCCTCGAACGATATCTTTGCGCGCTGTCGGCTAAAAAAAGGAAGAGAGAAAGCAGAGATTCCTGTGGAAGTGGCCTTTGACTGTGTGTGGAACAGTAGCGGCGCGACTCTGAAAGCCACTCGAGAAAGAGCCGGAACGTTCGCTTCCATAGCCTACAGCATTCTGGATTTCTGATAACGTACACAACTCGCCTAACGTCTCGCCAGGAACGTCCGCGAAACGGGGCTGTGAATGAGGCGCCGGTGAGCAAGAAAGTCCTTTCCCGAGAGGCGTGCTATTAACTTTACCGCCAAAGGATATCGTCGACCAACTCGTCTTGCAAACTCCAACAATATCCCAAACAGCAAACCTATTACGCGGAGCGTTTCGACACGTGTATCTTCCCGGTTTGTTCCCGAGACGCGTCCGCAGGAAAAGCGGCAACTCGGGATGCTCGGTACGTTTCGAGAGGCATAATCTATAGACAGACGGTCGAACAATAGGAGCTTCGGCGTCTCGAACGAGCAACTTGCCAGAAGCCATCGTACGATGCACTCTCGCTCACCTTTCGAGATCTCGATAAAGGATCGGAGAAACTAGGTTTCGTCGTGATCGTTCGCGAACGAGCCTCGTTCCGCGACGAAGAGGAACGATCGACTATAACTGTATACTCGTCGTTAACGATACGACGTATTTCGTGGCCAAACGATTCGACCCGGATGCAACCTACTACGTAAACTCGGCCAATGATCCCACTACCGGATTGATCTCCTTACGTGGAGATACTTTACGGAGTAAAGTACGGATTCGGTACTTTTCCCCGGGCAACTGAAACTTTTCTCTTTCCCTTCGGCGTTAATCAATTCGCGAACACCGGTCGACAACAACAATCGTGCTACGAATACGGCGAAAGCTTCCTTCTGTCTTCCGGAAATATCGAGCTGGCTTGTGCCAGGTGGATCGTGTTTCTTCCCGCGTCATCGACAAGTGGCGGCTCTCTCTCTCTTCGGGGAAGCTTTCAATTTCTGGATTGAACCCGAAGCCCGGGTTCTAGCGGTGCTCGTCGGGTTACGTTAAATCCGAGAACGTCGGTGAATGAGGCCAGGCGACGAGGTGGCAATTGGCGGCAAGCTGGGCGAGAAAAGGCGACGCGGAAAAATATGGTACACGGGACCACGGGTCTGTGGCACGACGCGGGATTCAACGTATCGAGGTGGCTGATGATCATAATACACGGATACCGGGCTACCACCCTTCTCTTATCCATCCTGCTTAACGTGCTGCTACGAACCGGTAAGTTTTTTCCTCCTCTTCCCTTTTACGGCTAAAAGAGAATTCTCGAGAGACAGTTATCGGTTTCTTTTCTGCTTAACATTTATAGCCGCTGTTCAAGGTTTTCGTACAATAACAGAGGTACAATGCCTCGCGCTCTGCCTTCCTTTACGGGCTGTTTCAAGAAAGCTATACAACTTCCTTCTTTACGATATAACGAATTCAAAAGTCCATTATCATTTCGAGATATAATCGACCGGAAACTGCGTACCCGATAATGGTTCATCCATTGTATGCCTTAACGAAGGATTACCCTATTTGTATTATGAATATTGATGAACCATTTACGCAGTCATTTTCATGACACTTTAAGCGTAAAATTGATACGGCACAACTGCCATTTTGTGATACTTTCGTGTCATCGAATCGTGTCGGACTTAATATGGCTTCAAATTGCATATAATTCGGTTTAATCGACGGACAGAGGTTGTACAATGAGAATATTAACGAGTCGTTTATGCAGTGATCTTTGTTCGTATTTATTGTACGATTTTTCCTCGCTTTTACGGCATACAAACAGACATAATTTATGGGATTCTGTGTACGTTCGGTGCAGTTGACCTGAGACCAAGCACTAATGTTTTGGTTCCGCCCGTCGTGATGTTTCGTCGTTTCGCCCACGGCGAATCCATTTCCTCGCGTAATCGACGCTTTGTCAGACCGGTCCTCGTGTACGCAGACACTCCACACAACCGCTAAATCGTTAAAGATCGAATCTCCCTAGAAGTACTCGCAATTGCTTTCCGCAAGATTCGATAACGCGGGCCTAAGATCTATTTCGAGCAATAATAACGTCGCTTCGATTTCAATCAACCATAAAGACTTTAACGCGCTGTCATTCGTCGAGGGATTTCAACGAAACGAATGTACTTTGCTTTTAACTAATTCTGACTGAGCTCTCCTGGGTGAATCGTTGTATGTGCAACCAGAGATGAGTTCAACGTTCAATCGATACAGGATGCTTCAAAACGGATATACAAGCGTTTAGCGACGAGGTGATCTTGAATAAAATATGTGGCGCGATTTGTAGCTTCTATTCCGAATGCTAAATCAATCGATGCTGGCTTTGAACCTTAATAAAATTCTGAAACCACGGCTTTCGCGTCTTTGGACGGTAATATTCTTGAAATTGGTAAATGCTTTCCAATTAAAACACCGACATGATACTATCTTAAGTTACGTTTTACGCTCTTTTTATCGATAATATTTTATTAAAAAGGTAATGTCCAAGTAATTTGGAGTAACAATTTTTAATTGAAATTATCGCTAATTAAATGGCCCACCCGCCGAGGGATGAGTATTCAAGTTACGTATCAGAACAACGTTACTTATTTAATAACCTGATATAATATCACCGGGTGGTATAATGTAATGAGACGAGTCTTTCGCGCGTTGCTTTAAAAGCAGCCTGTAATTCTAGCACGATTCCCTTCGTACTCGTCGACGTTAATGGACGTACTAAAGATTACTGATGCCGAAAGACCTTCCGCCAGATTGAAGTTACCATTATTCATTTCCGAATGAATATTAATTTCCCAATTGGTAGCATATTACCGGGATAAGAACTGGGAATACTTACGAAAACTTTGTAGACGCATATAATTAATGAACTTTCATATAATGCGGTATACCCGTCCGTGATCCTTTAAACTGATGAATAATATATAAGCAGGTATTCGTAAAAGTTGTCGGTGACATCTATGTGTACCCGTGTGCACGATACGTGCTCTGTTGATCATTTATGAAGCCACTACAAGGATGCGGTGAAATTTACCGGAAGCAATGGCAGCTCCGAACCCGTCTGAATTAACTATAAAGTTCTTAATGTACCCATTTAACGTGCTACCGTGGTTTGCTAAGTTTCGCTTCTGTTACTTGTTTTAAGTAGTTCTCAACCTTTCAGGTCTTTAATTCGTACTCACACCTCTTTTCTGCCGTTCCATTATCAATGATGCTCTTTTCATCCACTTGTACCACTTATGATCCACCAATTTTACGACAAATATTTTTCGAGACGATCGATCGACGTGGCAGAAATTTGTGAGTGTCATCTCCGACCCACAAATTTTGTATTATTAATTATATCGTTAAAAATATTTTGCCCGCAACATATTCGGTTACGCGAAATTCGTGGTATCGGCTAGCAATGACCCTCGCGACATTTAATGCCATAAACAAAGTCCGCTTCAACGCGATCGAATGCCTGGGGGGTTAAATAAGTCACGTAAATTACACCGAACGATTATAATATTTGCAATGAACGTCAAAATAGCCGGCTCGATATTGATTAGTAACAGACTACTAACGCGAGACCATTATTGCTATCGAATTACCGTGTCGGCGAGCTAAAATTGAACGTGAAATTCCATAATTTCGAGAGCCACACTTTAACGAGAGCATTATGAATATCTGCAAAGACCTCGCGGATACGAGTGCTCGTTCTTTCCACTCGAACTCGTTACACTGTGCTCTTGTTCACTTAATGAGCACTTAAAATTTTTTTTTTACTTTGTCGTTCACTCGCTGCTCCTCGATTTTATTTCGACGATATCGATGGATCGATCATACCTCTCTTGCAACGCGATACGGCGCAAATTTCTCGAGGTATACGTATAAATTATGGTTGTCGTTACGGTCGCGAACAGATGCACAGGATAAATATATCCAGAGAGGATTACCGAGGCGGTTACTTTGTAACGAAGTATGTCGTATAAGTGTGATATAACATTTAAGCACCGTAACAAAGAGTGTCCTCGCTCGCAACACAAAATTTCGTGGTTCGAAAGTCTCTTTTTCTCCGCAAATTTAACCTTCGCATCTTCTGGTTTATAATTTCTCAAAGTTTCGATGTAATCCATCGTTATAGGGACCATCATTCGTTTGTCTTACAGGTTACACTTCCGAGTCTTTAATCATTTTTCTTGACGCTTCCAGGTCGCGATCGCTTATCGTTTTCTCCTCCTGACAAGTTAATTGCCACAGTGGAAACGGGCATTCGTAGTCAGGCACATTAAAGTAGCAATTACCGAGGATACGATCGATTAATGTTCAAGTTTTACCTTTCAGCTTGATAGCTATTATAATTCAAATTTTTCTCCGGAGGAATTGTCTTTTCAGTCGTCACTGTCACGATGGTTCCCACTCGGAGCATTAGATAACCGTGCAATTACTCGGACGAAGGGTAAGAACAACCAGGTTCGATTCAACAATGATTAATTACTACGAGTTCAGTCGATATTTCTCCGTTGGTCGTAATTTGATTTAATCGAATAACAATCGGAATTCAGTTGGCGAGAAATCACTAACGCCAGTTTTGCCACGATTTACAATGCACGGTGAATGCAGTAACTTAATTTAATCTATTTCTGCGTGAAGCGATACCAGCAGGGTTACTTGTTCAATTTACCGGCATAGAGAGAGAGGGATCTATTACTCATGCAAATTTCAGACGTACGCTTAACCCCGTGCGAACGTAACTTCCGCGGCTGGCAATTTACATAGAAAACAAGACTAACAAAACAAGCATCTCCAATTCAATAAACGAGAAGTCGTCGTTTATAATAAACGTATCTTCTCTACCGGGTTTGCTCCTTTGTTGCGTTAGGCTCGTTTACGGGCCCTATGAAGTTTATTGCACCATGGACCGACAAAAAGTGTGCTTAGACCTGTGAAAGAACGCGGTTAAAAAGCTGCTTTCAACGCTGCGCCGGTGCTAGACTGAAAAAAGAAAAAGTGTACGATACGAAGGGTGGTAAACCCGTGGTCCATGTGACGCGTGGTTCATCGGTCTATCCGCTAAATATACTCGAATGAGGAGAGACGTATCCGTGGCCACGGCTTTTCATATTCTATATCCATGACCATCTGCGGGCCCGCTACGATCGTTTTATTTGCTCTGGAAAAAATAGTTTACGAAAAGGTGGTCGACGCGAGCGAAATAGAGACGGAATGCAACGCGTTCGATAAATTTCCTGGCTGTTCGAACTTGCGTTCGCAGTTTCGAATTGTTAACCTTTTCCAGCTACCGTTACCTATAATATCCGTGAACTTGGAAAGTGTTCAGGGGAAAGAGCTTTTCCGAGAGAGATTTAAAATGTGTTTTTAAGCAAGCTTGTCGCGACAGCTTTGTGCCGTTAACATATTTTAAAACGTTCAACCTGCCGCACATTTTGACGACATGAAACTATTGAAAAATACCGACTATAATATATCAATTTAAAGCTTAAAATTTCGACAAAATTGCCGTATGCATTTTTCATTATTATTATTAATAAAGTGGTAGCAATTTGAAGGGAATAGCGATCGATTTGGAAATATATGAATACAGGCATGATTCGAAAGTATCGCTTACGATATAATTAATTAAAAACATCGATGAAAATGACTGCTATGTTATGAAAATCTTTCATAATACGAAATGATTAATTGCCAATTATAACCTAATACGAATCACAGTGAAATTCCTGCGTTATTCTCCGGCCGAATTTAAATGGCTATTGATAAGCGACGACGTTTCATAGGAAAGCTGATCAATCTACGATACGTCAAAATTTCGATGTATGGCTCTTAGTTCCGTACGGTCTCATTTTTCGGCACGTACGCTCGGAATAATAGTCCTCGTTGGTACGGCGAGATGTATCGAGAACGAAAAGCTTAACGTTGAAAATAATTATTATCGCATGTTCGGCGTAGTGGTCATTGCAATTTTCTCTCTGTGACAGTTGACGCGCGAAACGCGTCGGAAATTCGAAGCGTTTTCAAAGAAAAATTTAACGAGTTCGTGCGGTTTGTTAAACGTTTCGAGACGCGGTTTTCATCGCGTTAGCTTTCGATTTCGAAAACAACGAAGAGACGTTACCGGTTGGCTTTATACCGCGAAACCGTTCGCCCACGAATCGAGAATAAATTTCGCAAGAAACTCAAGGAACAACGTGGCGCGGACGAAGTTACGGTGAAACAAACGAGCTCGACATCACGGTGTTTTATTTCCAGTTTAGCGGTGCATCGAGGCAAACTTGCTAGTTAAATTGCCCCGAAAGACGCTTAGCGCGCGAAGAATTTACGAATATTGCTGTTCCTTAAGACCCAGAAGTATCTCATTTTCCAAGTTTCTAGTAATAACGATACCTCGCAGTCGATTATTCCAGTTACAAGATTATACTTTTCTTCCCTTTTTTCGTTGCTCCGAAATCGAGGTCGAGTTTTCTTTCATATAATTTACGCGGCGCGACAAAGAACGCGAAATAACCGGGGCAACGCTTTTTTCTCTTTATCCGGCTGAAAAAAGAACTGTTCACGGAATGGAAGAAATACCTGAAGAAAACATTGACGCGGAAACAAAATTTCGCTTCGATGTGCCGTAGAATTCCTTACCTCCTCCTGCCACTTGGATTACTCTCGTAGCTTTCCGCCACGAACGTGTTTCATAACAGCCCGGACTCGTTTAAGTTCTTATTATTTTAATAGAAATTCTTGGCACAGTCTCGTTCGAAAATAATGAAACTTTTCCGGATAGCCCGGGGAAGTTTCCCTATTTGTTTTTTATCGGTTACCCAATGTTCTTCCGTATGTACGTTGTATACCTAACGATGGTAGGGGTACAAAAGTTACCCGTGGTGGGAGCGAAAAATTCTGCGATCATAAATTTCGCATTCTATCGAATAATGGGTTGTTTCTTTGCGGCGAATGAGGGGAAAAAAAGAAACATCAACTTTCTTCGCTCTGTGCGTTCGTTAAACACTTTGTTACGAGTTTCCGTACGTTTCGTCGCTTTTATTTCTTGCGAATTTTCATGGAAAATCTGAGTTTTCCCTCTTCGCTGGAGAACAATTTGCCTTACAGTTACAAGCCAACCGAAAGAGTCGGTACATTAAACATAACCAAGCGGGCGAAACGAAATAAGTGTACAACGATTATTCGTATGGTTTTATCAAAGTTGCAGTTTTTAATTCATTTTCCACGTGAAGCGGAAACGCGTCAGAAATTGCGTGTAAAGTTTACGAGCGCAGTCGCAGAAGCTGTGCTTTGAGACCAGCGCAATTAATATACATACGAAACTTTCTGCTCGATCTCGTATTTTAATCTTTCTTGTTAATATACCGGCATGAAAATCGCCGATGACTTTGCAACGTGAACAAGAAAACATCTCGTCGCTGGCAATAGCTTCCTTCTTTTCGAGAAGATGAAGTTTCCGAAAGTTTTCTTCGCGCGACACAGCCAAGGTTCGCCTCGAACTTTAAATTATCATCGAAGTGATTCGTGTTCCTATTGAAAAAAGAACAAAAATGAACGATCAACTTTTGACACGTCCGTCGTACGATGCTCTTTCTGCTAGAACGATTAACGCATCCATCTTGGCCATCTCGGGGCGTTATACATTTTTCCGCGATGGATCCTACTTTCAAATTCTTTCGTACTTATCGAACTCGTTTATCAACATTTGTTTTTGATTCATGGCTCGATCAGACGCCAGGTAATAAGAGCTGCGTTTGTACGGAGACGAATCGATAGAAGCAACACGGATGATCTAACGTCCAGATTTCAACGACGCGGTGATTAATGGAACAACAAATTTCAAAACATCGCCTCCGACGATCGAACGGAACTAACGTATTGATAGTAGTATTAACATATTAGGTACGGTGCACATTTGGATACGATGTTTCGGCTCACAGAGAGTGTCATGAACATTACTGAATAGTTGCGAACTATCGTAGTGTATCAGAACAATATACACGGTGCATGTATGCCGTTCCTGTACGTTGTTATGTGTTCAAGCTTAATTGGTAGATCAGAGTTAATTACTTTGGCTTGCTAGGCGTAGTTGAATAGCCCTTACAATAATTCCTGCTCGTTACGCTTTTATACAGAAAATATTGAAAATTGTGGTATAAGCTGAAAGAGGTGATTACTTGTTATGCTTTTATACAGAGTGTATTGAAAATCACGGTATAAGCCGAAAGAGGATGATTATTTGTTACACTTTTATGCGGAATATTTCAAAAATTTCAGTACAAAGCGAGAAGGCAACGTTATTCTAGAAAAGTAAATCGAAAACGTTGTACGATATTTTTTAATATCTCCTTTTCGAAAAATACGCAAGACATCATTATCCGCGAAAGCTCTTCGGTTCATAATCTACCCTCAAATAACGCTAATGACATATTCTCCAAGTTATCTTCTCCGATAATTGTACACTATTATTTACTTTGCGCATAAATATTAATTATCCGGAAGTCGTTGATTACTAGCCCTGCGACTTTAATGGTGTAACAAATTACAAGAGAATGCAGATAGAGAGATTAAATTGAAAAATGGAACGGTCGTGTTCTGAATAATTGCAATTACATCGTATCGCCGGCGGGTTGATTAAATAAATACATTATTGAAATTGAATGTAAACAGCGATATAACATTGCTTACGGGCACAAATAAAAGACTTGGTATTGGATTTTCTCGAAAAGCAAGTTACCCACTAAAAATGATCGTTTCCGATCTACGTAATCGCCTGTACAGAATTACACCGCGTAACGAAACGTTGTATTATTCATTTTATTTGAAAGCAGAGGTGACGGGGAACAATTCCGATACAAGTATGAATTTGGCTTTAGAGAGCTTTCGCAACGAGACGCGCATAAATATTCGAGAAACGGAGGGTGAAGTTTGAACGTGGTTGTGGAAAGGGGTTAAGTAAAGTCCAGAGGAAAGCCTCTTAACAAGGATCCTCCTGGCGACTCGAGCTTTGCGTCAAGCAACCGCTTAAACCTTGTTCGATCTCCTAACAACTCGCTCCGATTTAATGCCTTGCTTTTCTTTTTTTTCCAGACTATCCCACGGCGGTTACGGCTGAAATAGTGGCAGCGAACGAAAACTCCCTGGAAACGGGCATCACCGGAAAACCGTTAGACATCGATCTACCCCCCACGTTACCGATGAGCTTCGGGACCGAAAATTCCACCGTGATCTCGGCCCAAACTGGATCCACGGCGTTGCTACCCTGCCTCGTCCATAATCTAGGAGACGGAATGGTGAGATTCGAGTCAAGGGAACATTCTTCAAAAAGTTTTCGAAAAAAGCATTACTCGAAGCCGGCTTTCGGCCGTTCCCGAGAGTATAGAAAAGTTATTATCATATCAACGCAAGAGCCGAAGGCGCGGCCTTTGGGAGATCGGGGAAGGTAGGAAGTTTTAAGAAGGATCCGGTCTGCAGTGAAAGGGCATAGCTTTGTAGAAATTAAACGTTTCTCGGGGACCGACTTACAAGCCTACATCAACGAGTATTATTCGTCTCGCGGCGTATTTAATTCGTACCCCTATTACGATTATGAACGAGACCAATGAGAGCTGCAGCACGGAAGGATTTAATTGAAACAAAGAGAGCGAAGTGTATTGCCCGGATGAATCCGTGACGGATAAAATGGAATTAAAATCTGGAGAGACAGCAGGGACACGGGATTTTTAACTTTTCAACTGTTTCTCCCTGCGACTTGGTGCATTGTTAACGATAAAAATTTTATTCTCATTTTTTATAATCCTATTCGTCGCGGAATCTGTACGAAAGTATACGGAAAATAAAGGACCGTATTGTATCGTTGTGGTAATGAAATTTTTCGATGAACGAACAAGAGAAACTAGTTCTTTCTCTTCGAGAGGAGAGAAAAAAGAAGACGAAGGAAATTTCAGTCTCTTTCGTTTAAACCTGGCAAGTTTTAAAGTTGCGAAATAAAATGTTTGCGTTTTCCTTCGTTAGCCAAAGTCACTTCTCTCGGTTACTCTTTGTTAGTTCCTTAGTTTGTCGATAAACCAGCGTGACAACTACGTCTCGAGAAATAAGAAAAATAATATCCGCAGTTTATATTACGTCTTCCTCGTGTTTTTCATCGAATAGATTTCTCCCGAGCGAGCACGCATTAACGCGTCTTAAGTACGCGGAAGATATTTGTTGCAAAGTGTCGACGGTTTATAGAAGGTGAGGAAACGTGAGAAACGGAGAGCTTACTCTTCGAAATAACGCCTCGTAACGAAACTCCGTAACGCATAAGCGATCTTGACGGAGAAAAGTTGTCTCTCATTAACGCCAGATGTAATCAGAAGTCCCGGTATCGGAGTGAAAAGTGTAGTATACCGTTTCATTAAGCAACAGTATTCGCGAGATTTCATTTCTGCCGACTTGCTCGTTCGCTCTGTGTATATATTTTGTTGGTAAACATTTCGCGTGCCGCGCGCAATTAGCTCGTCGCGGATAGACGAACGCGTCGGTGTTGATATCCTTTGTACACGTTATATCGACATCGATCCTGAACGATAGCAATTTGCTAATCACGACTCAAATCTGGAATACGGAACGTGATCTGTCATTAACTCGTTCGAAAATTAAATCTTGTTATGCTACTCGTTATTAATTACCTTTCACGACAAACCTATTGACCACTTGTGTCGCGCATTCATCTTCCGTCATTTTTTATCATCACGATTTAATCTGCGGAGTTTTACCTCTTATCGGTATTAATTCCCTTCGAGTGTCGCGGTTGAAATATAAATGTACGCGGTGAAACAAGCCGAAGCTCTCAGCGTTACTATTGCCACGAATCATATTTTCACGCGTTGAATCGCTACTCGTTAGTGTTACTACGCGTTTTACTTTCATACGCGCTGAAAATCCACGCGAATCTCCACTCGTCGAAGTTTCGCGCGTAACAATATAACGACGGTCTCGAGCAATTAATCTTGAAATTCAAGTTTTCGCTGGAAAGCAGCGCAACAGTAGCTGTTCGAACTTTAATTTTCCCATTTCGCTCTTCAATTATCCAATTACATAAAATTCAAAGTGCTCCCGTCGTCATTCATCATTTCCACGCATCAAGAAGTCTGCGCGAAAAGTACGTTTTGATCCGACTTGGCGAGATCTTTGTGCCTTTATCCATCGTCGCGTTCGCGAGCAAAAATATTGCAGTGTCTCGAGTAGCGGTATTGAAAGCCGTTTCGCTTGACGGATGAGGTCGTCTCGACGTAGCGACGAAACAGACGTGTACGCAGTCGGTTTTTCACGACGTTTACGAGGTTATTATCGCGTTATTTGTCTTTCCCGTGCGTGCGGTAACCGCGTTACGCAATAATTGGTCGATCGAACCCGAAGGATATAAGGGACGCGGAGGACGGCGCGGCGAAGGAAGGGACGGGGTAAAGGGAGGAAGGGCCGGGAGCGAGGTCGAATTAAATCGACGCAGGTGGAAATCAATAGGACGGTCTCCGTCGAACAATTCGTACGCTGCTCCTATTGTCGCGATGTGCCGATCTCGTTCGTGCAAAATTTCATTGCGTGTTTGAACGAAGACGGAGAGACGAAAGAAAAGAATAGAGCGAAAGGCAGAACGGATGCAGCGAAGAAAGGAGGAGGGTAGAAGATAATGAAACCAACCTTTAACGTCACTGTTGCATCGTTGGATGGCACCCAAAGTCCTTTGCAATTTTCCTAGAGGCTGCCCGTCTAATTGAATGCGACGTCTTCGAACCGAAAGAAGTCTATGTGCATTTCGACTTATCCCTCGAAGATTGCTGTCCTTTATATGAAATCCCTTTTATGTCGACGGCGTATAGAAGATGCCCGGATACAAGGTGTATCGATGTCTGAAGTACACCGCCACTTGCCGCTCTCCTACCTTGAACCGGTATTACACGCTAAAACTCCACGGAATATCCGGCCCAAAGGGAATGGAGGATGTTATGTGGGATACGGGTGAAATGCGCTGAAATGGCGAAACGGTGACAAACGTTAAAGTATACCGTTGTTTATCTACGCTCCGATCGATCTTCTATTCTCTTCTCTCATCGGAACTGCTCCAATAGCCGTCGCTCGTAAATGCTCAGTTACTCCGTGCCTAGACTGACAGATTGCCGATGCAACCTTTTATATTCCATCGCCATTAATGATACGTTTTAAATTTAATTCCGGACCAGACGCGATGATAAAAATTTTTTATTGCCGGTAAGATATAGTAACCTAAAAGCCTGGACTAGCTAATTCCGGCAATTAACTTTTTAACGGCGGGGTTCAAAAATATTTATAAGAGGACCACTCGCGTTATCGGTAATTTCGGTAAAGGGAATTGTTGTAGGTTTAACTTTCCGACGCTGGTCACGCGCATGAAAGTATTTCACCCTATCAGCGAACAAGGGGGCGAAACTTCTTCGTTCCGAATCCCAATTTTGGCTCATCAGAAAAATCTCACGGTAACTCGTTCCGTTGTATGGCTTTCAATTAGTTAGCTAATTCCGGAAACGGAATTTTCTCTTTCCATTTCTCCCCTATTATCAAGACTCTCATCAACGCTAAGTAATACGCACTAAACAGAGGTAGGGATGGGTTTGTTCTCTTTTTCCTGCCGTCTCGCTCGGTGCCGTTCCGCAATCGGGTGCTTTCTGTTCTTTCGAGTCGCCATTTCATGCAGCTAGTATTACGGTAATGGGTATTTTGGTTAAACGGGTAGCCAGATAATCCGAGTTCCAGTACGGCCACGTGACAGCACTTGCCGGTCTTTCAAGCTTTTATCCCGATTGCAACGAGTCCAAAGTTTCGCATCTATGAATGCGTGTCGTTGTGGTCTTACTCGTCTTCTTCCGTGTATTCTTTTTTTCTCCATAGTTCGCTGAAAGTCGGGTTAACGTTCCGAAAAAGGGGTTAACCCTAGCTGGCTGGTTGGCTGGCGTGAATAGAATCAGGGGACTGAATCGGGTCGTGGCCGCTTTTCTCTTTTTTTTTCTCTTCCTTTGCCCCGTAATTTACAGTAATATTTGGATTCCGTTCAAACGAGTCGAACCCGGCCGACGTAAATCTAATTATATCGAAGCAGTTGGATTGCGGTGAACCGCTTCTTGTTTCTCTCGCTTTTCCATAGATTGTCGCAAAATTTTCGTCGATCGATAACGGTAACGAGATTCCCGTCGTCCACCCAGTTATTTTACCTTCTCCCTGCCGGTGTAAACGAAGCCGAAAAACAACGGGGACCGGGCGCGATTTACTTAGCGCCAGGTTGCAGTAGTATGAATCAACGCTTGGAACGACCGTCGTTGTTACAGACAATACGATAGTTTGTTCAGTTCATGAATAACAATACCGAGCGCGATTTACACGCAAGAAAATAGCAATTACTCACGCGTACCGAGTCACGGCGACGCGAATCTACGCGTTGCTGAAATTATGTCTACGTTCAAACGTTATTTTGACGATTCCAGTATCCACTGTACTTTTAACGACACGGAAACGTTTCAAACTTCTTGCTTCAACGGTTACAGTGTTCGTCGAAATGTAACCGGAGAGATCATTAATATGAATCGAACCAGTGAATTCGAGGAGCAGAGAAAACTTGAGTTCCCGCTTATTGACTTACTCGTTTGTTTTACGTCGAATAAGCAAAAGTTTCACATCGAACCATGATTAATATAGATCATTCCACGCAAACAAGTATCAAAAACCACCTGCACGGAAGACTGCCGTTACAGACGAAGAGTCCACGAGAAAGGCCGTTCCACTGCAAAATGTAAGACTTCCTTTTCGCAACGAGTTGAACGTTCCTCAAATATCTGTTTATTCATCGTTCTTACCTGAAGCCAGAAGTCGTTGACTCTTCGTTCTTTACTTTTCTCGTCAGTAAAATTTCATGAAATTTTCGAATGGTTAAGCGAATAAAATGTAGCAACGAATAGTTATTTTGCGTTTCACCAGGTATTGCCGGTCCAGGCACGATTTGTTGCCGACAGATCGGGGTGAAAGCGGTTTCGGTGTAAAGCAGGTCGAAAGGGAAGCGTTAAGGTCGAGTTTGCATTGTACAGGAAATCTCTTTGGAAATCGCTAACGATCTGTATCCAAGTAATTGGGTGGGCTCGCAATGCACGACCTCGATGGGAGCGGAGAGAACGTGAAAGCGATGTAAGGCATCGCACAGGGAGCTTGTGTCTGCATTCATGTCGGGGAATTGCTCAATAAGCGTGAACCGTTAGAAGGGTGTCTTGAGACGGGCAAACATACAGGG